ATTAATTTATATAGAGGAAGATAGGTTAGGTGCACAAAATGTCATATGTCACAGAATGTCTCGGAACTCGGAACATAAGTAAACAGAACAGCACGCCTCTGAAATATGTCATCTTTGTTTGTCTCATACAGGTAACAGATTCATTGTCCTTTATTAGCTATAACCGATGTTGCCAAATGGTGAAATAGAAACGAATCCCTTTAAATGTTGAATGCATTATTTAATTCCTCTCTTTTAAGTATTTAAATAACTTTTCAAAGAAAAAGGTTGAAATGATAAGTTTAAAATGCGTTGTTTTAGAGCTCTTTTATGAAAACTACTTGATTATCGTCAGGAGGAACATTCCCCATTGCAAGTTGTCTGTTTCCGTTTTGTAAAATGCTTAAAAAAGAATATCCAGAAACAAATCATTTGATTATATGGTCTGATTCGTGTGCCGGACAGAATAAGAACTTTGTGATTCTTGGCCTATATGAATATTTAATTTTAAAATGCTTTTTTAAAATAATTGATCACAAGTTCCCGGATGTAGGTCATACCTATCTTAATTCTGATAGGGACTTTATCAGTATCGAGAAAGTTATTAGGAAACATCAAACCAATTTTATACCTGACCAATATCATGACATTATAAAGTTATCAAGAAACAATGAACCTAGAGAAACATCAACACAAAGGATATTACCTGATGTAACCCAAGTACAGGCAAATTTAAATTTAAAGAGACATCTGGATGAAAGGAGAGGACAAATACCTGCACTAAGGCGTTCTAACCGTATAAAAGAACAAACAAGAAGATAAAACGTTCAGTTTGAGTAGAGCCATGAAGATGATAGCACAGTCTGCTATTGAAAGTTCTTGCATATAATAATTAGAAGTTATCAAAGCTTCACAATGCTTTTTGTCAACAAATGTTATTATTATAACAGTTCGTATAAATTTTGTACCTGTTTTTGGATTGAAGTATATTTGTATATTTTACAACGTTGTAACTTAGGGTTTTCCAGTTTATACTGAATAAATATTCTATTGAGAAAACAATGTCTTTCATCGCAAAATAAGAAAGATAAGAAAAACTAACCTGCATCAATAACTGCCTGAACTTGCGTCTGATTTCCTGCCGTTATATTCGAAAGGAACCACACAGCCTCTTTGCATATCTTATCTTTGGGGTGGGACAGGAGAGCAGGGAAGTGGGATAGAGCGTCACAGTTCAGAACAACCTGCGTCTGATCATCTGTACCAGTTACTATGTTCCCAACAGCACGCAAAGCTGCCGTTTGCACTTTCACCTCCTTGTGACTGAGTAAAGGAATTAATTTCGGAACGATACCGTTGTCGATCACCATTTGGATTTGTTCATTGCCTCCGTCAGTGAGGTAACTCAAAGCCCATACCGTGTCTACCAAAATCTGAAAAAATACAATCGGTTGAACTTTTTTTTACTCATCTACAGACACAGGACATTTGAACCTTTAGAAAAGTAAATGAAAAATCATCAGCACTATATAAATATTGAATACACTGACCTGCTACTTGGTGAAAATCAATAACAGCATCAGAATAATTTATTCATTCCAAAAATGCACATTGTGTGGTGAAAACTACAGAATATGCAACTTATCCGACTAGTCAAAAAGATATTTGTATATAAAATAGATTGATTAAATATAGACAATACAATAAAGTGGATAATCTTAGCGACTGGAGAAATGTATGGTAAAATGGATTAACAAGGTCTCTCAGTCAAAAAATCAAAAATCAAACTCTGCTTTACTTTGCCAAGCTTTCGCTTCTAATGG